AAGGAACAAGGATGTGAAAGAAGCCCTGGTCAGGCTCAGAAATAAAAGGTGGTTTTAAGGAAATTTATTGAATACACAGAAATGTATCATATCCATTGGTTTTATACTGCACAAAAAAATCAATAATATCACAGTTTTTAATTTACTAAACATTTGTATAAAATTCCAATAATAAGAAACAATTCGAAACCACCATGTTTCCTACTCATTTATTGTCTTTAGTAATGTGTAATACTCTCTTTAAGGAAATATATCAGAGTAGAATTTTTAAAAACCCTGATGAATTAATAGGTTGTAGTGAAGTACTTCTTAGTTTCTACCAGATTATTAATCTAACTATTAAACTTTAATAGTGTGTTTTTTACCTGAACTCACATTAACATCCTGTTGTGTTGAGGATTTATCTACCAAACTATGGTATTAGTATGAAACACTTTGGAAAGTGATAAAAATCATGAAGGTAACTCTTCAAAAAAAGACATTTTTGTGCCCATGGAAAAGCAGAGGAGACCCTTGGCTTTTTATGCCAGATGAAGACAATAAGAAGTGGATAGTCTGTAAACCAAATTGTGGGCTTTCTCCAGACACCATCTGCAGATCCCTGACTTTAGATTACCACCTTCCAGAATTGTGATCTACATCTGGAATGAACCTCAACTATGGTGTTTTCTGATTAAGAACTATAGAAAGATGTAGAGAAACATGGCACTCTTAGCAGAAATCATTCAATAGAATTCATTAAAATAATAACAAATGGTGTGGTAAGGGATTGTCACTAATCCAGAAAATGTGATACTTGTGAAAATAACCCATATTCCACAAGCACATTCTCCTTTATTATGCCATGTAACTATACTTGGATACATATATGTCAGCCATTTATCTGTTGAAGTGATTGTATTATTAGTCAGACTTCCTTAGAGGCAGAGGAAAACAACTGATATAATGTATATATGTATGTATGTATGCATGTATGTATATATGTGTACCAAAAAGGGACTTCTTAGAGTGACATGCAAGTTGTGGTCCTGCTAGTCCAAAAATGGGTGTCTCTAACAGGAATGCCAGGAATCCAGTATATATTTAGTCTATATGGCTGAATGTTTCAGCTAGTCTTCATTCTACATTTGAATCTGAAAAAGCAGGTTCAGATAGATACCAGTGAAGGAATGGCTCAGGAGCAGCATAGATGAACTTGCCAGCAAAAGTAAAGGGCAAGCAGGCAAATACCTTCCTTTGTCACTGTCATTTTATGTGGGCTGTCATCAGAAGGTATGCCTCAAATTTAAGGTTGCCTTTTTATACTTCACATGATATACCTGAAACAATCCCCCACAGGCATTCCTTGCTGCTTGAGCTGGAGTTGATTCCAAATGCAGTCAAGTTGGCAATCAAGATTAGACATTACAATGATCGTGGAATAAGTGAAAAGAGACTTAAACTATAAAACAGCTGATTTATGAACTCATCTTTCTGAATTTGTTATGTTAAGAAATATAGTATTTAATGCTATACTTTAGAGAATTAACATCTGATATAGAAATAATGACAGTGTCTTAACCCCCTTCCTTATGGTTTTTAAGAAGTATGGAACAGAATGTCACAGGCTTTGTTATATCTTAAATCATTCTTTTTGGCTCTCAATATTTCCTTCCACATTTAATCTCTAAAATATCATCTTTCATATTTGACAAGATAGTTGAAATGGCAAAACATTAAATACATTTAGGAGTTAATCTTATAATTCTGGGTTTATATACATTACTTTTGTTCATTATTGTTGCTGAAGATGCTAAATATAAGAATGAAATATGATTTGCTTGGATATATGTGCATCACAGTCTGCTCCAATGTAATTTTACAAAGAATAGAAAATGAATATTAAGTGTTTTTAGTGCACCATAGCCTATCTTGATAAATTGGTATCCCATCAATGTATTGGATTAAGAAATGTGTGAAATGGATGAATAATTTCCTTTATGTCCAAACTATTAGCTTACAACTGTAATGTTTGTGATTAAATGGGAATAGCAATTAGTAGAAATAGGAAGCATCCATTTAATTTCTGGAGATTTAAAGAGATAGTTTGCTTTTTTTCCGATGTAATATCATTTCTCTGTCTTTGACATCTTGCTCAGATAAAAAGGTGAGTTAATTAATGATATTCTTTAACTTTTTTTTCTCCAATTGAAGTGATTACTCTTTGAGACTGTTACATTATGCTTTCTGGTAAAGATCTTCTGGTGAGGAGAGAAAATCATTTTCTTTACTTATTTTCCTTAATAAAATATGATGTTGGCAATTGGTTATCAATTTGACTGGATTCTGAGACAACTAAAACCTGTGGAAACCCGAGTGTGTTTGGGCAACATTTCCAGAGAGCACTGGCATATGGGAGACTGCTTAGCAGAAGTTACAACGCATTCTGAATACAAGTAGTGTTATCCAGTGCTCTGGGTGTCCATATGGAAGGAAATTGAAGAAGACAGTGATATAGGCCTGGGTGTATTGTACTTTTATTCTTGTGTGAGTATTTCTATGGATGCAATCATCATGTATGAATATAAGACTCAATACTTCTTAGCTCTCCACAGTGAATAATTTCCAGACACACTCTAGGGTTTTCTCATACCATCTGTACTGGAAAAGGACCGCCAACCAAGGTGACTAGTTTCTTGGATAGAGAACATGTAAGAGTAAAAATGAGACAAACAATTTTTTTTTTTTTGGTTTTTTCGAGACAGGGTTTCTTTGTGTAGCTTTGCGCCTTTTCTGGAACTCGCTTGGTAGACCAGGCTGGCCTCGAACTCACAGAGATCCGCCTGCCTCTGCCTCCCGAGTGCTGGGATTAAAGGCATGCGCCACCACCGCCCGGCCTCAGACAAACAATTTTAAAAAGGTAACTTATTGTAGAAAATCATAACCAATCAAAATGAAGAATTGTGTAGCCTCATTTCAATTGAAGCAACCACAACACAACTCCTTGACCTAAGGCTTCATCAGGAACCATTGTGAAAGAGATGTCGAAGATTGTAAAAGCCAGTGGAGAAAAGGACTTTTCTGTGAGATTGTGTCACCTAGAGATGTCAGGAACAATATTCATAAAGTGTCACTAACATGAGTGCATGAACTTGACTTGAACAAGTGATATACCAAGAGATGATAATGTTAATAAAGAAAACCACAAGAGGCCTCAGGACTAAACAAAGAAATACAGATAATTAAGGAATTCTGAGAGTGAAAAAATATTCTTCTTCAGGAAAGAGCACACCAACTGACAACCAAGTACCAAATGCTCAGCCCTGAAAAGAGAGGCATACAAGTAACTGTATGTAGACTGTGCAGGTGCAGTTTATGAATTCAAGCATGTGTGTGTGTGTGTGTGTGTGTGTGTGTGTGTGTGTGTGTGTGTGCCTGTTTGTATGTGTAACAGCAATTAAAGAAAAACAGGCCATTTATTTGAAAGAGAATGAAGGAGATACATGGAAATAATGCTTGAAGGGAGCAAAGAAAGGTGGGAATGTAACTATTTTAATAGTTAGTATTAGCAGATGTAGATGAAATTGTCTTGGGCATGAAAAAATCAGAGCAAATAAGAAAAGATGTAGACATCCTTAAATAAAGTTCAATTTTAGTTTCATTGAATGACTGGTTTCACTAAAAGCCCTGGACAATATCTGTCCAGGATAACCAGTGAAGATGATAACTATGAGTGCAGTGGTTGGGTATTCCCAAGGAAAACACTGAGTAAGGAATCTAATTAATCACATTAGAATATCTAAAAAGAGGCAGTCAGAGCCTCAGGAGAATTAAATCTCAACAGTCTTAGATGAAAATAAATGTGATCAACTTATCTTCAATTACCAAAGGAAGGATAGAAAGATTCTCTCATCACAGGTAGGTTTCTAAGTGGTTATTTGTAAAACTATAAGAAAAAATATTATAGTGGTTCCTGGACATAAACTAAAGTTCAAGAATAAATAAGTAGCTTTATTCCTGCTTGTGTTGTTAGGTAAATTCTACAATGTATCTACAGGTAACATTTCCTAATTATATGTTTATGAATTTGTTTCATTTGTCAAAGTGTCTCCTTAAATTCTTATTCTATGATTTACTCTCTATCTGTCCTCTGTCTCTCTATCTCTCTCCCTCTCCCCTCTCTATCCTCTTTGTTATGTACAAATAATAGAAAACAAAGAAAACCACAATGTTCACATAGAAGTGTTCATATAAACACTGAATATAATAGCAAATAGCATTTTATTTGTGCAATTTTGCTAATTAACTTACATTTGCATTTAAATCTTAAAGTCAAGGTAAGAGCTAAATTAAGGAAAAATATTTGCTGTAAACAGTTGTTGCCACTTCCTGCCAGTTCTAATTTACTTGTCCAAGGTTTTGTCATTTGAACACAGTTAAGTAAATAACAGAAGTTTAAAAGGCAGTAATTAGTGATGAGTGATAGCTTTTAATAATTTTTTTCATTTTTATGTAAACACTTCAAAATCCAAAATAGTATCATGACTATCTTCATCTATTGTCTGATATTGTTAAATGATTCATATATATGTTATAATAAGCAAAGAAAAAACATATTGATATTAATTATGACTCTATAATAAGACTATATAAAATATGGCTTATGCTATAATTTGTCTGTAATTTTTCATTCCCTTCACATTATGTGAAATCACAGACCAGCATTTTTTATTTACATGTTCTACTAAATATGGAGTGATGGAGATAAAGACAAGTCAGATAGATCATGACTTAAAACTTTAGATAAATGATAGATAGATACATACATACATACATAGATACATAGATAAATATAGATAAAGACATAAAATTCAATTTAATCATTCTCCTCTACTTTTCTATGATGGTACCTTATTACAACTGTATTTTATGTTATCTTACTGTGTTTTCTTAGTGTGCTTGTGTACCTAGTATATTCCTAAGAATGTAAATATTTTCTGCTTTATATATTCTAAAGAAAATCAAACCCTAAAAGGCCATTCATTACCTTAACGAGTTTTGTAACTATTTAGATCATGAACAAAGAAGAATGGACAAGAGAAACTGCTCATCTGTACCTGAATTTCTTCTGTTGGGAATTACCAGCAAGCCTGAGATGAAAGTAACTTTGTTCATAGTGTTTCTGCTTGTGTACCTCACTATTCTTCTGACAAATGTAGGGATGATCACATTAATCAGAATGGATCCCCATCTTCACACACCAATGTACTTTTTCCTCAGCCACCTCTCTTTCTCAGACCTCTGCTATTCCACTGCAGTTGGCCCCAAGATGCTGGCAGACCTTCTTGGAGAAAATTCAATCTCTTTTGTTGGCTGTTTTCTCCAACTCTTGATTGTCTCTATTTTCATAGATGTTGAGTGCATGCTGCTGGCAGTGATGGCCTTTGATAGGTACAAGGCCATCAGCAACCCCCTGATGTATGCTGTGGACATGTCCAGTAGAGTTTGTTACCAGTTCTTATCTGGAATATATCTGTTGGGGACTATAGATGGCTTTATACACACCTCATTGGCCTTCAGCTTATGTTTCTGTGACTCTACTCAGATTAATCATTTCTTTTGTGATTTACCTCCAGTCTTACTTCTTTCCTGCTCTGACACACAGCTCAATGAACTGGTGTTATTCACCCTTTTTGGTTTCATAGAACTGAGCACCATCTCAGGAGTCCTCATTTCCTACTGTTATATCATCTCATCTGTCTTAAAGATCAGTTCTACTGGGGGATGGTTCAAAGCTTTCTCTACCTGTGCCTCCCATCTGACTGCAGTTGGGATTTTCCAGGGGACCATGCTCTTCATGTATTTCAGACCTAGTTCTGCCTACTCTCTAGACCAAGACAAAATGACATCAGTCTTTTACCTCCTCATTATCCCCATGATAAACCCTCTGATCTACAGCCTAAGGAACAAAGATGTGAAAGAAGCCCTAGTCAGGCTCAGAAATAAAAGATGGCTTTAAAAAATGCCTTACAACTACACAAACATATTTATGATACTTGTAGTTTTTATATTTTACCATTCATATGAATCATATCAGTTTGTTAAAAGTTCAGAACTATTGTAGCATATTCTAATAATAAAATAATTGTTTCAGACTCTAAATATATCTTACTATACTAGTGCATCTTGCTAATATTTAATTTTCATATTATAAAACTTTCATTACCAATTCAACTCTGATTCTTTTTCTATTTTGTAATTCAGCTTTAAAAGTACTATAATGTGATTTATTGCATTTTTCTATATTTATGTACTCTGAATTTCTTCTAAAACTGTGTACATTTTTCAAGAATGTTAAGTATATGCCAGTAGAATTAACCTGGGTACTCTAAACTTTGTGTTTAGGATCAATTAAATCCAAAATTGAAAAAGACAAAGAGAGAGAGAGAGAGAGAGAGAGAGAGAGAGAGAGAGAGAGAGAGAGAGAGATGGGGCCCACTCTTTAGGAAAAAGAAAAACCATAATCACGTGGGCAGCTCATTGATTTTGGGTTGAGTTGCTACTTCTTATATCTAAACATTTGCATGTGTGGTAGAGGAGGAAATGTATCATAGAGTTTATGATTAAAGAAATAATTTAGATGTGAACAGGTCCATGCTAGTTAAAATAAAAAGAACTCTGACAGATTTTTATTAAAAAAAAAAAAAGCTATATAAGCGATTCCACTATAAATTCCTTATGGGCTGGAATAACAAACCACCAGTTGCTCCATTTTCCTTCCTTTCTGTCTATTCCAGCCCCAGTGAAATGTTCTCTTATATAAAAGATTCACATCCTAAATCAAATGTCTACTGTTAGTCAATTTCTTAAATCAGCATCTGCAATAAAGATTGTAAAGATGTCTTCACTCTCAGAGAATTCCATCTCCATTAACCAAAGGAATTCAGCTGGATGTGAGACACAAACAGGTGAAATAAAGTCATAAAATAAAATGTCAGCACACAGACTTTTAACACTTATGTTAGTAAAGTAAATATACATCTATTAATATGTATACATAGTATCACTTTTTAGTAGTATGTAAAGTGACTGGGAATAAATGAAACAATCTACATATAAATATTAAATTTCTGAGACGCAAACAGCATCCCTACTCCTCCTCTCTATTTTCCTTTCTTGTCTTTCTGTGTCAGGTTATTGAAGCACTAAACCAGCGAATCAGGTTCCTGAGAACATATGGTCCTTACATTCAGATAAGACAGGGTGACATCATTTTCTATTACAATTTATTCTATTTTTTTCTTTATTGAAAATAGAATTTTTTATATCATATATGCCGATTATGTTTTCCCATTCCTTTACTCATCCAAGTACCTCTCCACTTCCCTTCCTTTTATGATCTACCTGATTCTTGTGTATCATTAGAATACAAACAGGAATCCACAAGGATGACCTTAGCTGAGACACCTAGCAAAAGTGGAGAGGGTGCCTGATCTGACCTTCTCCTATAATCTGATTGGTGACTACCCTAATAGTTATCAGAGAGCCTTGGTCCACTAACTGATGGAAACAGATGCAGAGATCCACAGCCAAGCACTGGGCCAAGTTTCTTGGCTCCTGTTGAAGAGAGGGAGCAGAAATTAAAGCAGCCAGGATGGTCAAGATCATAATAGGGGAACCCACAAAGAGAGTTGACCTGAGCTTGTGGGAACTCATGGACTCTGTATCAACAGCTAGGGAGCCTGCATAGAACTGATGTAGCCCTTCTGCATGTGTGTGACAGTTGTGTAGCTTAGTTTGTTTGTGAGGCTCCTAGCAGTGGGATCAGAACCTATCCCTCGTACTTGAGCTGGTTTTTGGGAACCTATTTCCCATGCTGGATTGCCTTGCCCAGCCTTGATGCAGGTGAGGGCGAAGTAGCTTGGTCCTGCCTCAACTTGGTATGCCATGCTTTCTTGACTCCCATGGGAGACCTGCCCCTTTCTGCCTTTCTGAAAGTAGAAGGAGGAAGACTGGATGAGGAGTGGGGGGAAATGAGAGTTGGGGGGTTACATAGGAGGTGGTGGTAGGGAAAGTTAGGAGAGGATGGAGGGGAAACTGTGTTTGGTATTTAAAATAAATGAAAAAAAGAAAACAAAATACAAACAGGCTTCTAAGGGATAGAATAAAATATACTAAAGTAAAACAAAAACCTCTGCAATATTTTTATGGAGACACTTAGTTCTATAAACTTGCCTCTTACAAGAGCCTTCATTTAGGTATGGTGTGCAGTCATTTTTATTCAATTCTGGAAAGTCTTTAATTTCTTTTTTATTTTATGACCTGACCCAATTTTCAATCAATAGTGTATTCTTTGTTTCTTATGAGTTTGTAAGCTTTCCATTGATTCTGTTGTTGATATCCATCTATAACACATAGTTGTCTGAGAAGATACAGTATTTCATTTCAGTTTTCTTGTACCTGTTGAGTCTTGTCTTGTGTCTGAATATGTGATACATTTTGTAGAAATTTCATGAGATGCTGAGAAGATATATTCTTTTGTATTTGGGTGAAATACATTGTAAATATCTATTGGGTTAATTTTGTTTATGATCTCAATTAGTTCCAGCATTTCTCTGTTGTATCTGCATAACCAGTGTATTGATGAGAGTGGCCTACTGACATCGCCCACTATCAGTGTGTGAGGATCAATATGTGATTTAATCTGTAGTAGTGTTTCTTTTACAAACCTGGGTGCCCTTGTGTTTAGCACATAGATGTGAGCCCCTGGCAGTGGGACCAAGACTTATCCCGTGTGCATGAAATGACTTTTGGAACATATTCCCTAGGGTGGGATACCTTGCTCAGCCTTGACACAAGGGAAAGGGACTTGCTCCTGTCTCAACTTAGTATGCCAGACTTTGTTGACTCTCCAAGGGAGGCCTTACCCCCTCTGAGGAGTGGATGAGGGGTGGGATCCCGGGAAGTGAGAAGGGTAAGAAGAGAAGGATGTAAAATGAAAAAATAAAATTTAAAAAACATGAGAGGAAGAGAAAAATAAAAACAAACAAACAAACAACAAAAAGAACTGTGATATCGTCTTAGTGTATTTTTCCTCTGATTAGTATGTAGTATCTTTCCCAGTCTCTTCTGATAGTTTTGGTTTGAAGTATATGTTTTCAGATATTAAAATGGCTACACCAACTTGCTTTTTAAATGTTCATTTGCTAAATGTATTTTTTTATTCTTTTAGCCTGAGGTAATATGTATCCTTGATATTAAGTTGTATTTCTTGGATGCAGCAGAAGAATGGATCATATTCTCATCCATTCTGTTAGTCTATATCATTTGATTGAGAAATTGATATCACTGATATTAAAAGATATCAACAAGCAGTGTTTGTTGATTCCTGTAACTTGTGTGTGTGTGTGTGTGTGTGTGTGTGTGTGTGTGTGTGTGTGTGTGTCTTTGATTTGCTTTTCTGCAATTGTTTATTCCTTTTGTGTTCTTGGCGTGATTAATCTCTTAAGTTTGATTTTTTTCTTATATCCCCTTCTATAAACTTGGGTTTGTAGACAGATATTGCTTCAATTTGGTTTTATCATGTAATTTCCTTTTCTTTCCGTGTACTGTGACTGAATGTTTGCTAGGTATATAGTTTGGTTGATGTTGGTTATCTCTCAGAGTTTATAGACAATCTGTCTAGGACTTGTTGAAAAATAAAGTGTTATTCTGATAGGTATCCCTTTATTTGTTAATTTGTCTTTTTTCTTGCAGTTTTTAATATTCTTTCTTTGTTCAATAAGTTTAATGGTTTCCTTATTTATGTACCAAGTGGATTTTCTTTTCTAATCTATTTGGCATTCTGTATGCTTCTTGTGCCTTGATTGGCATCTCATTTTTTAAATTTTATTTTGCCTGTTTGTATCTCAGATCCAGCTGAATTCCTTTCGTTAATGGAGGTGGGATTCTCTGAGAGTGAAGACATCTTTTCAATCTTTAATGCAGATGCCTTGGCAACTGGTTTTAGCCAATTTCCTTGACCCTATGGCACTGTCCTACTGCACAGTATACTAACTAAAATTTGTTCAATTTGCCTAACCCAATGCCCTGTTCCAATGTGTAAACTGTTTTAATTGCCACCATAAAACACATTATTTTGGGTCTTTATTTCTTTTCTGAAAGTTTTCATATAATGACGTTTTGCTGGCAGCTAGATACCTGAGATACTCAGTGTCTTTTTACTTTCTAAATTATAAATAGATGAGGGCCAGAGAAGCAGACAGGCTAACCCCAGAGCTTCACCTCCCTGTCCTCTCCTCCAACACATTCCCCCCAGAATCACCCCCAGCTCAGTACCAGTCACCTACTGTGACTTGCCCTTGCTCTCTAACCACACCCCCAGTGGATCAAGAAGATCTTCTCCTCCCTCCTTATTTGCCAGTCATCCAGTTGTCCCAGGCCCTAACTCCAGCAAGTATTCCCTGGGGACCACCAGCTAAACCTGTCAGAAAAGCCAATAGACCAGAAAATCAGTAGGTAAGCTTGAGATCTTCAATCCTTTCCACAAAACCAATTTCTCAGTCATATATCCAGGTCTGTAGCATGCTACCTTAGTTGCCTGTAGGTCTTTGTGTATGGTTGAGAGCTTGTGGGATTTTCCACCTCCACTTTGCCATGTCTGTTTGTCTTGAACTCACTCAGCTCATGTTTAGCCAGTCAGATTGGTGTGACTGTTGTTTTAGTTTCTGATATTCCTAAGAGACACAGCTACCTAGGAAACTCCCAAATCCTTACTTTAGGGAGTTGTTTTGTAAATGGAGCAAATAATTGGATCTTAGTCCACAGGGTAAGAAGAAGACACTCAAAAACTACACAAATATGTTCAATAAGACCTTATTTCAAATGTTAGGATCACAGAAATATTCCCTACCAGGCAACAGACAGCCACCACACCCTCTCAAGAACCACAGAGAGCAAAAGAAACCAAGAAAACATCCTATCCAATGAAGCAAATATTGTAACAGTGCCCATATGGGTAGATGGGTAGAATTCCTCAACAAGATGCTATGAGGTACACACTCAGGTTAATAGTCAAGATGTTCTTCTGTAGAGATGATTATTTCATGTTTTATTTTTCATTTTCATCACATCTGATCACTGTTTAGGACCGTAATGATAGTTGGTACTTTGGAATCAAACAAACACCTTGCATATAGAGTTCCAGAGCAGTTTTATTACATCTAGATTTCATATGCACATTGAGTAAAGTGAAGTTGCTTGAGATTGAAAGAAATGATTAATTTTGAATTTTATGACATCATGCTAAGTTAAATATTATGCAACAGAACAACATTTTTGTCATTATATCCATCTCTAATCTGTATTTTAATCTGCAAGTTTTATCCTCAAAAGCCCTTTGCTGAATAGGTGCAGATAAAAAGCATTCTATATAGGAGAAAATGATTAAAATATTATTTTACAAATATTTCTTTTTTAATATGTTTTTATATCCTGACCAAAGTTTCTCCTCCCTCCTGTCCACCCAGTCCCTCTCCCTCATCTTTACTCTTCCTCCTCTCTTTCTCTTCAGAAAAGGACAGGTCTCCCATAGATATCAGTCAGTCATGGTAAAACAAGTTGCAGTGAGACTAGGCACCTCCTCTTCTCTTAAGGCTGGATGAGGCAATCTGGTAGAATTGGCCCAAAAGTAGGCAATAGAGTCAGAGACAGCCCCTGATGCCACTTTTAGGAGTTGACAAGAACACCAAGTTACACATCTATAACATATATGCAGAGAGTCTAGGTCAGTCCCATGCAGGCTCCCTGATTGTCATTTAAGTCTCTGTGAATTCCTATGAGCCAAGGTTAGTTGGTTCTGTGGGTTTTCTTGGATGTCCTTGACTCTTTACTCCACTGGCTCCAACAACTCTTCCCACCCCTCTTCTGCAGGACTCCTTGAGCTCTACCTAATGTTTGGCTGTGGGTCCCTGCATTTGTTTCCATTGGTTGCTGGGTAAGGCCTCTCTGATGAGAGTTGAGCTGGACACCAATCTATGACGATAGCAAAATCTCAATAGGAATCATTTCATTGATTTTTTGCACCATTTTTGTTTGGTTCTGTCCTAGGTCTCTGGGCTATGTAGCCTCTGGGTCCTGGCCCTCTAGGCAATGTCAGGGTGGGCTCTCTCTCATGGCTTGCTTCTCAAGCTGGGTCAGTCATATATTGGCCACTCCAACAATTTCTATGTTACCTTTACTTCAGTATATCTTGTAGGCAAGACAAATTTTAGAATGAAGGTTTTGTGGCAGAGTTGGTATCCCAACTTCAGTAAGAAGTCTTGCCCACTTATATGAGATGGCCAATTTTGGCTATGTATTCCCAATTGCTAGGAGTCTCAGCTAGTGTCACCCTCACATATTGCTGGGAGTTTCCATTGCCCTAGGTCTCCAGCTCATCCCAGAGATGGCCCCAGATTCCAATTGTCTCTCCCAGTACTCTTTCCCTCCATTCTTACCTCACCTAATCTCTCTTAGTCCCATCCCCATCCCCAAACAGAGCCCTCCCCCCATGCAATGGAGATGTGTATTTTAATTCCCCTTCACAGTGAGATTCATACATCAGCCCCCACCACCACTATCCCTTGAACACTTCTTGTTACTTAGCTTTTCTGGGTCTGTAGATTGTAGGATGGTTACTTTAAAAAATATATATGTAACAAAATATAAATGCAGTCTTTAGTTCTTCATCCAAATTAAGAACGTGATAACTTGGATGTTAAAATGTTAAGTCAGCATTGAGGGTGTCTAATGTCAAATTAGCAGTTAAAGAGTACATTTTTTTAGTATCCCAAAAATATCACACTTCCGATTTCTCCTAATTTTTAAATTATTGTTTGAAGTAAAAGTAACTGCAACTTATTTGTTAAATTAAAATTGAACATTTTCTTTGAATATATTATTCACATGCAGTTTTAATAAACAGTCATTTTACCTCACAAAATTTTTATTCTTATTCTTAAAAAATATTCACCAGTGATTCTACCTGAAAACATTTAACATGACACCTTTCCTAATCCATTCTCCCCACAAAACTCTGTAGAGCCACACCTACATGTCATGAAGAGGAAAACAAACAAGCAACCCCCTGCCCTCAAATAACACGATCATACAAGAATTAATAACTAGAGAAGAAGCATTATATAGAAATGGTGGTGTTTATTGTGGAGTTGTGAGAGAAGAGACAATGTTTAATGGGAAGAGCAACTGCCTGAGATAAGTAGGGTTGAGGGATTTGTTTCAAAAAGCAAAGAAACAAGACAGAAAATAAAAGACATGGGCATCATTGAAAGTGACTCTTCTTCAATTTCATTTCTATCTGGTTTCACTACATGCTACAAATCCTATCAATAAGCTCTGTTTAACATCTCTTAGGGATCCATGTGGTGACAAGGGCACAGAATTAAAATTTCAACCTTGATCAAAGCTGGTGCTGTATTCCTCAGAGGAAAAAACTGAGCTGGGAATTTAATTAACCCCATTTACATACAGAACAGTGAACACAGACTGTCACATATTTAAAAACCAAGGGTACCACAGGAAAATAGTGTGATATGAACATTGTCCAGGTGCTCTAGATAAGGACAGAATAAATATCCGAGGTATGTTTCTAGTTTACATTTAAACAATACAGAAAAAATAATACCTTGTTTTCTTTCTTTGTCCTGAGGAGTAAGCCAAAATTAATAGTATAACTTGATGTCAGTTAAATACAGATTAAAATCTAGTAGTGGCCACCATTTCTTCTTGCTCTACTTGTATGAATTGAACTGCCTTAATATGCCACTAATGTAATTTTATAAAGATTTCTATGATTTATTTAGTAATCAAAATTCCTTTGTAAAACAACTGTAAATGATATACATACGCATTTTATTTTTTTCTATTTTTTGCTCAAGTAATAATAAAATCAAAATGTTACAAACACAAATCTATGTAAATTAAATGCTCTAAGAACCACATGTCACAAGGACTTAGTATAGAAATAGATGTCATTAAGAAACCATAACTTAGTAATTTCCATGAATGTACTTGTATTTGATGCTATGATGAGAGATTAAATATGAATCTCTATTTTATGTTTGGGGTCATCAAAATTTCAAGAACTATATTAAAGTGTCTCAACATTAGGAAGGATGAGAACCATTGGTCTAGACCATCTGCAGAATATTTTCTACATACCAAAATTAGATTCTGAATATAGACAACAGTTTTCTTGCCTAGATAAATTAAATCCCAGTCATCCTATTCTTTGAATGCTTTTTGCAACCATTCAGGCAAAGAACAAAGAAGAATGGATGAAAGAAACTGCTCCTCAATCACTCAGTTTATTCTATTGGGAATTACTAATAACCCTGTCATAGAAGTGGTTCTATTCATTGTATTTCTTCTCGTCTACCTCATTATTCTTGTGACAAATATTGGAATGATCGTTTTGATCAGAATGGATCCCCAGCTTCACACACCAATGTACTTCTTTCTTAGCCACCTCTCTTTCTCTGACCTCTGCTATTCAACTGCAGTTGGACCAAAGATGCTGCTGGACCTAATGGACAAACACAAATCTATATCTTTCATTGGCTGTGCCTTGCAGTTTTTCTTCACCTGTATCTTTGTAGATGCTGAGTGCATGCTATTGGCAGTGATGGCCTTTGATCGGTACAAGGCCATCAGCAATCCCCTTATGTATGTAGTAGACATGTCCAGTAGGGTTTGTTACTATCTCCTAGCTGGAGTTTACCTATTAGGAATGATAGATACTGTGATACATACTGTAATGACTTTTGGGTTATGTTTCTGTGGATCTAATGAGATTAATCATTTTTTCTGTGATATCCCTCCCATTCTGTTACTATCTTGTTCAGATACACAGGTCAATGAGTTAATCACCTTTATTATTTTTGGTTTCATTGAACTGAGCACTATCTCAGGAGTCCTTGTTTCTTATTGTTACATTATCTCATCAGTCTTAAAAATCCACTCCACTGAGGGGAGGTTCAAAGCTTTCTCCACCTGTGCCTCTCACTTAACTGCAGTTGCCATTTTCCAGGGAACATTGCTCTTTATGTATTTCCGACCTGCTTCTGCTTACTCTCTGGATCAAGACAAGATGGCCTCACTTTTTTACACCCTAGTAATTCCCATGCTCAACCCTCTGATTTACAGCCTTAGGAACAAGGATGTAAAAGAGGCCCTGCAAAAACTGAAAAATAAAACATTCCTTTAAATAAAGATACACATTAAATGCATGAATTTTTGCATACATGTAGTCCCTTGTTTTATTTTAACTACATAATATGCCATAAAGATACCTCAGTCCTAAATTGGTTAATGAATATATTCCTATGTCAGAATATACTTATAGTTTGTGATTCCTAATGTTTTAAACATTATTTCTTTGTCTTCAGAGTGTATGGCACTTTATTTCTGGAGAAATTCCAAAATTTTAAGTAGTCCTAAGTATTTGTGCTTTTTTTTGACATTGTATATATTTAATTTGATTCTTTTACAGATTCAGCTTATTTTTATTTTGTGTTCCCATGATGTTTTTTGCTAATGGACCTGGCAGTTTAATAGAAATTATAACCTTTGTTAAATATATTTTATAATAAACTAATTTGTAATCAAAAGCACATTGTTATAAGTACTAGCATAATCTCCAAGTCTAGACCATAAAGAATGCAAGTTCTTTTGAAACGGAAGCATATAGTTTGGAGGTTCAAGAATGACAGGCACAGGTGTGAGGAGAAAAAAAGAATCTAGATGCAGAAAGTGAGGGCTGTCTATCCTGAGATAGGCAGAAAAACGAATCTTTACTTAAATTAAGTTTCAGACATAAGAAACCAGGAGACAAATGGTACTGCTACCCCTTTCCAGTTGCTAATGTTGATCATGTTCTTGATGATTTCATAAATTTGTTAATTGTACTTTAAGTACATACATCCTCCTGACTCTGTCTTATCTTTCTACACTCTTACTCCCATTTGATAATTTGAAAATCTTCTTTTTTGAAATGTCCATCCAGATATTGGATCAATTTTTAATAAAATTGTTCACTGCATATTTTTATTACTTTCCAATTGATTTGTTTTGATTCCACAGTAGTGATGATTTTTTGGAGATTTGTATATAGTACAATTTGTATTGTAAGAAACTGTTCAGGAGAGAAGATTACAAATTTTGAATCACAAAATATTTTTGAGATGTTGGATAAAGTAACTGCTATGGTCTGTCAATCACATATTGTATTCATGACTATTAATATCATATTATACCTCCCATAATTTATGTAGTTTTGTATATCAATGAAGGTAAAAGAATAGAAAGTGTACAAATTGATAGGAAAAGGTCCTAACCACTTCTCAGCTCAATCCCATCTCTTCATTTTTTTTTCCTTTTCTTACCACTTCCAAGCCATTATTAATAGTTAACCCTATGATTCATAAATAATATCCTCCTAAGTTCATTATTCTGTTTATTAAACATTGGCCTCAGGCATGTTGCTGAGGAGCGTCTCTGTTCAATGATGGCTGGTTTCCTGTTTGTAATCCTATCTCCTGGTTTGTAACTTAGAAACAAAGATTAAATACAAATAAGTTTTTCAAAACCCAAATGAAGTAATAAGAGTATGACATCTTACTAGGTACCAAGTTACAGATATGCTTAAGGTTATGTGTATATTTTGGATATTTAATAGGTTCTATGGAAGAAGATAGCATTGATATGAATACTAACTATTGACATTACTCACATAGAAAAAAAAATCAAACATCTTGTTATCTAAGTGTCTTTCAACTACTACTCCTGTCTCTGATAAATTTACTTTGTTAAAACAATGAAGGAAGTTATTTGAGACCATGAGAATAAGATCACACTTGAAAGATTCAGAAATTAAATTCACGATACATTATATTGTTGATCAAAACTGTATCTGCAACTGCACTACCCATGTGAGGTTTTTCTCCCTGTAATTATACAATATCTTGTGTGAAAACATTTTAGAATTGAAGTAAATCCTATAGACTCTTCTGCTTTACAAAGGGTCACTTGAGGTATTCTTTGAAGATTATCAGAATCATTGTAGAAAACACCTATGGGGGAAAATGCTTCTTGTGGAAAATAATTTTAAAATGTCCACTTACATCATCTGTACTAAATGTATATTGACTGAAAAGAATATTATTTTTTACTTGTACTCCTCCCAACTTCTTCCAGTTACTTCTTGCCTCCCTACTCACTCAACTTCATGCTCTTTCTCTTAAAAATAAAATCAAAAACAAAAATAAAAACAAGCACACAAAAAGCAGTGGGAAAAAAACAAACAAAGCCTCCACCAAAACAAAACAAGGAGTGCACAAAAACACTCACTCTTTTTTGTGTTAGCCAACTACTCCTGGGCATACAGCCTGCCCTGGAGTGTGGTTAATATACTCTTTGGAGAAAACTAATTTCCACTTTCCCAGAAGCTATCACTTGAAAATAAGTTCTTGGTTATGGGTGAGGATTTTTGTGTACTTACTTCTCCTACTCATTGCAGGGATTTTGTCTAGTTTGAACCTGTGTAGGTCTCATGCTGTCACTGTCTCTGTCAGTTCATATGTGTATCAGCCCTATTATGTGTGGGAAATACTGTTTTCTGGTGTCATTTTCCCCTGTCCCCATTCCATGAGATAGAACCCATACCTGACATCACTAAAGTACTCAAGAGCCTGAAAGTAGTTAGGTCATGAGTGCAAACAAACAAATAAACAAACAAAAACCCCAAACAAACAAACAAACAAACAAAACCTTAATGATATGATGCTATGCCCATAGATCAGTGAACGGAGCAACCCTCATCAGAGAAGCTTCTTCTTGCAATAGATGGTAATTAACACAACTGAATAATGTACGGAGAATGAGAGACTTTGGAACACTCAGCATGGAATGAGATGTCTTTATTAAATCACTTCCCTTAGCCTCAGGCATCTATTTGGAAGAAGAGGAAGACAGATTGAAAAAAAAATATTTATTTTATTTTTAAGTTTGTTTGTTTGTCCAAGTATAAGTATGTAGATATGTAAGTGCAGGTACCTCCAAGAAAGAGGTGTCAGACACCCCAGATCTGGAGTTATAGGCAGTTGTGAGCTATCTGAATTAGGTGCTTAAGACCAAATTCCAGTCCTCTACAAGGGCAGTATGTGCTCTTAGCCACCTAGGATTTACCCATGATGCTTTTGTTAATCTTTCTTAAAAGTAATAAGCAATACCAGAGTAGAAAACAAGTTTAATAATACTAGGATCCAAACTAGACTCTCAGTAAATTACTTTTGTTCTAAATTTATAAGGCTATAATGTTTATCTAGGAAGATGGGCCAGTCATTTAGTAGATATGAGTTTTATCCTTGGAACTCCCTACTCCCTTAAAAAAATAAAAGCCCTGTGTGGTGGTGTGTGGTATGTACTTTTGTTGTTGTTGTTGTTTTGAGACAGGGTTTCTCTGTGTATCTTTGTGCCCTTCCTGGATCTTGCTCTGTAGACCAGGCTGGCCTCAAATTCACAAACATCCACCTTTCTCTGCCTCCCAAGTGCTGGGATTGAAGGCGTGTGCCGCCACCACCACCCAGCAATGGTATATACATATAATACCAGCACTGGAAAGACAGACACAGAATTTCATTGTTACTTTCAATCTGTAGCCATTTCAAGCAGTTCTCCATGAATTGTTTTATTTAGCTAATTGTGTAGGAGCACATCCTTGAAAAGTACACATCCAACCTATGATTGAAAAGTAATGCAGCATACAACTGTCCTAGAAGTCACAGAGCACATTTCTTTTACTACTAAAATTCCGCTACCTTATATGGAGAAGAGAAAGCAAAGAACCTGGTCTTCTGTGGGCCAAATATTATCAATTAAACTCATTAACAATGGCCCATGAGAAAAGGCTGGGCCACCATTCCCTGAAGAAAGAGTGTTATAAACTGACAGTATATTAAATTCATCAATGACAACAAGAAAGATGATGAGATGCAGGCACTTTCATGTCATTTTTCATTTTCTTCACTGTCATCACTTGTTTGGGTGTGTTTTCTTAAAGTCTACTTCAAGTCTTTATCCATAAGACTAAAACAATAAGGTTTTCTTTTAAAACAGATCTCTTAGGGGAATTAATGGGAGCTGTCCATTCTCCACAAAGTTATTATTTTGAAGTGGACAAATATCAAATTCAGTAACTGTTTCATTGCAAGCAGGAAAACCGGTGTTCAGCTCCCAAAACTGATGTGGCAAGCATTTGTAATCGCAGTGCTGGAAAAGCAGAGACAGATGAATTTGTGGGCCTCACAGGCTATCCAGACTAGATTAGTCAGTGAGTTCTAGAATAGTGAGAGAGACAGAGAGACCCTGTAGCCACTTTTGTTGGTGGTGTGAACCTTGGAAAATGGAGCCTAAAAATTTGGCAGACTATAGTCAACTTTATTCAGAGCATCAGACAATTTATATTCTGAGGATTAAGCCAAGTCATATTGAGCAAAGTTCACATTAGTTCAGGTTGTATACAATCACAAAGGCAAGGTGTATTCACATGAGTTTAGGCTGCATGCAGTCACCAGGACAAACCATGTTTGGAGACATTTTTGAATAACAAAAGTAAGCAAGAATGTGTAATCCAAAGCAAACACATTTCTATTTACTACACCTGGGAGAGGCATGAAAGTATATTCCCATAAGAATCCTGTGCTTTGAAGGACTAAGGTCACAAGGCTATTGTTCTCTTTTCTTGGAGAATTCTCACAATCAGAATTCTCTTCATACAGCTTCATTCATGGACCATGTTCTGATAAGACCCTATGTCAAAGAGAGTTGGTTCATGAAGTGGTACAGAACACACCAAGACAGCAGATTCTCAGCACAAAGTAGATTTTATTATTCAGAAGGACATGGGCAGGGGCTACCTATGGATTGGGCAGAGACCACGATGGCCTACTGGCACATGGCTGTTTTAGGCTCCAGCATACAAAAGAAGAAAGGGTTATCCCTCCTCTGAAGAGGGTTGAGGTGGTTGTCTCTGATTGGCTAGGTGGAGAAGAAAGGAGAGAAGGTGGCAGGTTTCCATCATGTAGTCCTGTGCCATTTTATGAGGTAGCATACCTTTGGTGATGTAGCCTGGTGGGTTTGAGAGACCATATCAGGACCAGTATTTCTACCTCTAGTTTATAAAAATAGTAGAGGGATGGTATTCTCTTTTTCTGCTTCCTGCTCACAGGGG